TGGACTCTGGACTTCGTGCACAATTGTATCCTGTGTGGGGCGTACAAGGTCCAAAACACAGCAATAACAGCACTACTGTTTTATTATTTTTTTATTTTAACTATTTGATGTGTTCTAAACACAGCAACAACAACAACAAAAAACTTCTATATGCCCTGGTGTTTGTTTTTTATAAAATATCAAAATGGATTAAATCCTAAGTAATAAAAAAACTTGATTTTGACTTGAGTTGATTTATGTGGTCAAAACCAGCAGAAACAGATCTTTCCGATCCACTCTGTACCATCAACACAGGAGGGAGCTGGGTATAAAATCTGCCTCCCAGTTCCCAAAGACACTGGATCTGGGTCCCCATCTCACACATCAGCAGTGCCATTAGCTCTTACTCAGGAAGTACAGTCTACAGCTGGCAAGACTATCGATTAAAAGGCCACCATTTCATTATAGTGATTCCAAGGCTGTAACGAGACTGCTGACACACGAGCTCCCTGGGCTTTAGTGGAATTAAATTAGAAACCCCATCGGACGCAAGGATCCAATCCAGACATCCCTCTCTCCACACTCCCTAACCTCTTACCCTGTGCAGGTGAGGCCAGGGTTCTGTGGGGGTCACGGGGGAGTGGGTGACCCCGCATCCTCCGCTAGGAGCCTTCAGCTCCTGAGTGGGGTACAGGACGTGGATTCCCTTCTCCTGCTTCTCGGGCTCCACCGTGTAACTCTGGTTGGCGCTCAGGATGATCACCCCTCTGGGGGAGAGAGAAAGAGGTTAGATCTGCTCTGATACGGCCTGGAGGAAAACCCGGATTATAGCGAGAACTACCACAAAGCACCTTCCTCCAAACAGGGATCACACTCCACAACTCGAGGCGCAGAATCAAGCAAGACCGCCACCATCCTGCGTGATGATCACCTTGGCAGCAAGCAGGGCGGAGACAGTCCAGTTAAAGCTGGGAGAGGTCAGTCTGATCTTTCTCCTCAGGATAATGGCTGCTTGTGATTAAAAGAGGAGGTCCTACTGAGCCTCAGTCCAACAGTGCTGTCAAGCCTCCATTAAATCACCACTTTCTAAAGTTCGTGTTTCCTGGGTACATCATCACTCTGAGCAGTCACATACAGTACATGGTTTTATTTTTGGTACTTTTAAATGTATACCCTCCAAACTGGAAATTGCCCTTCCTTTACATTTTAGCTCATATTGACAACTCCAGTACAGCATGAGGGAGGAGGAGACTCATCTTTCAACACACAGGCTCCAGAGACTGACAGGACGGTCAGCACCAACTGGAGGAGCAACCCATCCTTCGCTAATGTCAGTCTGAAGTCTCCCAAGACTCATCCACAGCTGGGAGTCGAACCTACTCCCAACTTTCACCCTACGAGCTGCTGCTTAAGGAGACCTGCTCATGGCTAGCCATTAACATGATCTGGGCCCAAACTGTACCATGTGGATCACAGAGGTCAACTTGTCTTGAACCCACTGTCTTTGCTAGTTGAGAGACCAGCAAGCACCATCAATGAAGCATTACCGAGAATTGCAGGAATGAAGTTTGATCAGCCAACAGGCCTGAGTGTGGGTGAGCTTACAGCTGATCAAAGAGCACAGATCTTGATCCACAGCTTACAGAGATCACGACCCAGCACACTTTACAAGGCCTGCTGAGTCACATCTCTCTAGAAGAAGACTGGAGACCACTGACTGGGCTGTGCAGCAACCCCAAACCAGAAAAGCCTTTTGCAGACAGTGAGCACAAACTGAGAGCCTTTCATTCTGCCAAGTGTCAGCAGAGCCCAGCCAGTGGAATGTGCAACAGCAGAGAAACACATTTCAAATCCACAATATAAAACTGAATTCAAACAACATACAATACCAACTGAGTGATGTGAGTAACAAAGCACTTAATTAAAATAATTGGAAACGATGGCCTGAGGGACAGACCGAGGACTGGATCGGTGAAATACTGGAGCAGCTGACTCACCTCAGTCCACTGCAGGTGCTGAGTGCAAGGCGAGACTGGGGAAAGTTCCTGACTGAGCCGTGGTAATAGCAGTGAGTCTGGGGGGAGAGAGTGTTCAGTGAGAACCGAGCCATGTCTCAGCTTCCCAGTTCCCTTCTCCTGACCTCTGCATAAC